AAAACTTGTATGAATCCTTGTCTAGTCTTCTCTAGTTTTATTTTAATTTCACCGTTGTCTTGTACAATTCATGATCTTCCTTTTCTCATTTGCTTACACACACAGTTATGCAACTCCCATCTACTTCCCTGTAGATGCTAGATATGATGATCCTGGTTCTTAGTAGAGGAGGAAATTTTGACTATTTTTTTTTGTGGATTTAATAATGGTTGGTTCTCTTCTGTTTCATGATTAGTTTGTCTTCTCTATCTCATTAATTTGATGGAATAGTAAGATTGACTACAGTGGGCTTATAAAACAGGTCCCTGAGACACTCCCAGAGGAAGTTCTTGGGAAAATGAGTGCACCACCAAAGAGTGATGCACCAATCATCTCGCCAAATGAACTGGCTGACGCAGATGGATTCGTTTTTGGCTTCCCAACAAGATTTGGTATGATGGCTGCCCAATTTAAGGCCTTTCTGGACGCAACAGGTGGTCTATGGAGAACACAACAGCTTGCTGGCAAACCTGCTGGAATCTTTTACAGCACCGCATCTCAAGGTGGCGGGCAAGAGACTACTGCGTAAGTTTGATCACATTTAATCAACTACACGAACATTGAAAATTTATCTGTATATTAGGTGGAGATTTTAATAATGTTGAGATTGTTTTTGTGTAGATTGACAGCCATCACGCAGCTGGTTCATCATGGGATGATATTTGTACCCATCGGTTACACATTCGGAGTCGGCATGTTTGAAATGGAGAATATCAAAGGCGGAAGTCCTTACGGTGCAGGAACTTATGCTGGGGACGGTTCAAGACAGCCATCTCAGCTTGAGCTGGAGCAAGCATTCCACCAAGGGAAGTACATTGCCACCATCACAAAGAAGCTCAAGGGAGCTGCTGCTTAAATACTCGGTGCACAAACATACTCAAATGGAAGCCCTTATCAATTCTTTATCCCCTATAGTTTCAATTTAAATTTCCGATTTCTATTTGTCTGCAAGTATAATTCTCGCTGTGTCTTATATATGCGTTTTTTCTCTGTGTTTTATGAATTACGGTTATTTATTCATAATTATAAGCGTTTGTTTGCTCACAATGCTACTGCCTAGAACGTTTGAACTGATGGACAAGCTTTACTACGTTGATTCGGAGCGAGTAACATGTACGTTGAGTAGGTTCGACGATGGTAGAGGAGGCCTCTCCGCTTAAGAGCTCGCATACGCATGCATCATTGCTGATGCATTTTTTTTACTTCTGATTAACAAATGATTCAATGTTAATAAACAATTAATGACTGTTAACAAAGAAATGATTATGAGATCAAAGATAAATACTACTTTTCCAAGAAACTCACCTGGAAATGATTAATGCTAAGGAGACTCTGTTAAAGTGATACTTTTATGGATCTTCTTTCATTACACAGTTTAATGTTAATTTTCGTTTCAATATTATAAAACAGCGTGATAATACATGAAATGAGCAATTCTCATGGAAAGTAACATATTATGCATCTCCAAGTTCCAACATCCAAAATTAATAAGGTTTTTTGGCTACTTTTAAAGGAAAATTTAGCAAAACTCAAGGAAAATTCAAGTACAATGGACTTTAAAAATTAATTAGTTTGATGAACAAAACTCGTTAAATTCATGTCTAACTATCCTATCACCACGGAGACTAGTAAATGAATTAGGTTAAATTGTAAATTAACAGTTTTCTCTCTCCTTCCACCTCTTTGTAATGCTGGGATGACGATGAAAAAGAGGATCGATGGCAGGCCTCAAGTGGCACGAGTTCGGGATGAATTTGTGCCAAGATGGGTTTCAAAGCCGGAGTTTGTGAAAGAATGAGTTGTCCTCTGGCGAAAACCGAATATGGAACTCGTTCAATGCAGTATCTGGCTTTGGATGGACACTCCGACATCTGGAATTGAAGCTGCATTGGTGGTGGTGGATCTGCTGCTATGTGGTTGGGGAGAGAGATACATAAGAAGCAGATCGAGTAGAGGGAAGGTAAAGCTGGAAGTATTGGCCCATTGGCTGCGGTGCGGGCTTCAAGAGAGAGAGAGAGAGAGAGAGAAAGAATTGGGTTTGTTCAATTTTGGGGAAAAAAAATATTAAAATATTTTAACTTACACTAAAATAGTTAGTATTATTGGAAGTGACATTTCTGTCATTTGGTCAGTTACAAGAACAAAAATTTAATTAGTGTTTTAAGAGTTACTTAATATGATTTAATGATATTTCTTTTTACTTGTAAGTGAGTGATTTTATTCTCGCAAAGACGAATTTGAACCACATTAACCTACTCCCGTTTTCTTAGTGTAGATAATATCATTTCTTAAAAAAATAAAAGTAAAAAAACCTAGTGTTGTAGGTGATGTTGTGAATTTCTAAGAGAAAGACAAAAGTCGATAATGCAAGATAGTATAATATATCTTCTTTAATTTAGACATGTTATGCCATAATAAATTATAATGATTAATGCTTAGATAGTTTCCTTCCACATTCATTTATGTTTCTTACTAAAGTTGATATTATTAGAGATTCTTTGAAGGGGATGGATATGTGACATTAATATTTTTATATAATTTTGTACACATGTTTTTGTGAGGTCTAATTTATAATGTGTTTCAACAATTTGAATCGTTCATTTTTTCGAACATAATTTTTCTTTTATGAGCACCAAGTATTTATTTGCATATTTTGTACTCATTGACAATTATAAATAGGTAAATAGACATAAATAGGACATTTTCTTAATCTTGGGATAGAAATAGGATTTTTTAAATATGCACATGGCATGCACAACAGTCAGACAAAAATAGGAATTTTCATACACCTTGAAATGACTGAATTGCCCTCGTATATAAATTTGTAAATTCCTCATATTTTCTAATTTATCTCTCTCTACTCTCCCTCCCTCTATCTCTAAAATTGATATTTATTGGATGTTCTTAGATTAGTAAAAGATAAAGAAAAACCCAGTTGGAAAATTTGATTCATTTGGAGATTGTTTGTGTTTGCTGATTAGCCCTATTGGGAAATGAACACATTTTTGTGCTTGTAGTTGTAGATGGGGGATTTCTTCCTCAAATCATCATCTTCTTCCTCAAATTCGAAATCTCATTCAAAACCCATTGGGTCAAAACCAATCTGCAGTCCAAAAAATTTTCAAATGTCGAAGAAAATCCATTATGAAAAACTAAAGACACCATTTTTTTGCTGCAATCTCTTTCTCTCCTCGCCGATGAACGCCTTCTCCTCTGAGTTCAAGGAAAATCCAAATTTTTTATTTGTATCAATACGTGCAACGACGTTAGTTTTGTTGTGGACGTGCATCGTGCAATTAACGACATTGGGGGATATGTGGGGGCCTAGATTCTGGAAATGAGATATGTAGTTAACAAATCTTTTACCTAAACCTAGATTCTGGAAATCCCACTAAAAATCATCTCTTTCCAGTTATATGCACATGATATGCTCACAGATATGAGCCAACCAAAAAACCCAGAGCTCACAGCTCTCTCTTCGAAATTAGAAAATGACGTTATCACCCGTGACGCCACCACTATATACACTATATGCACACCACATGCACATCATATGTACAGTAATGCATGATATGCACAGAACTTGAGATCGAGCAACGAGCTGGTTTTCACATTAATAAGAAACTTTAACGGCAACCTATTGGTATAGTGGATACAATTAAAACATAATTGTTATGTATATAAGGTTACAATGTCAGTTTGAAAAGTCTTGTTACGTATATTAACCACCGCTTAACCGTGCATGTGGAAAACATTATACTCGTTGTCGTCATTTCATGGACACGCATGACCCTTAATGTCTTCTAAGCTTTTTCTTAATTTTGTTTTTCGCCGAGTCCAACTAGGTTGTGGTCATACTCACTAATTTCCAGGGTACAACATACGTGCATCATAACTAGTGAACATTCCCGCTTCTCTTATTAAGATGTAGCCATGCACACCAAATGCACACCACATGCACATTACGGAAAAAATTTCACAAATTTTTGCAATTGTACGCTTGCACATTACGGAAAAATTTTCACAAATTTTTGCAATTGTACGCTTGAACCAGAAATTGTTCCATCCCAGTTTTGTAGCACGTTAAAACTTGAAATTTATTCCACAACCCATAGTCCCCAACATGAAACACAAACCCTAATTTAACTTCTAATTATTAATTCATCTTACAAACAACTCATTTATTCCATAAATCATTGATGAAAGAACTTGGAACTAAACACCCTACCTTACTATGCCAGCCGAAGCTTTAGTCGCCTGAAAAAATGGAACTTTTCCTATTTTGTGCATAGTGTGCATGAATTGTGCATAACCAGTTTGTCCTATTTTTGTCCCAAGATAAAGAAAATGTCATATTTTTGTCTATTTCTCTTATAAATATGTGGAGGCATAACTAAGAAAAATCATAACTTATTACAGTATGGAGTTTTTTTCCGATACATAACTGGTCACCAGTTAGGGCTAAATTTTTTTTATGATTTTAAGGAAGTTACTCCATTATAGAGTATTATTTTAAAGAAATTTGCCCTAGCAATTAATTAATATTATTGAAGGAATTTTTGACGTAAAAGTTAGTTTAATATGAATTTAAAAGGTACTTAAATCAATAATATACCTAAAATATAGAGTTTAATAAAAAACGAAAGCACTTTAATTTCAAATTAATAAATACTAAATGTTTAATATAAAAATGCTTAAGATGAAGTATCTGATTCTAATTAAACCAATAATGAAAGAAGAAAGTTTGGACCTCTGACCTCCCAATGGGAGCCCCTCAAAGTGACCATTCGATAAAAAGCACAGATCATGATTGCTAGCATCAAAAAGAAAACATCTAATGTTAATAACAAAATTGAAAATCCAAAAACAAATTGTAAGAAAACCTGAAAGGAGGAGTACTGGGGCATCTTCTGACTTCCACTAACATATTCTCATCACATAAACAAATAAAAAGTGAGATCTCCAATCAAATGCTATCCCCACACTTACTTAACCCCATTTTTCTACAAATTCAATTATTCCTTCCAAATTTTCTCCATCTTCCTTTTGGTTAAACTAAAGGTAGTGGCAACTCTACTCACAATATAGCAACAAGGAATAAAAGCTCCTTTATCTTTCTATAATAAAATCAGCTTCTATAACAACAATTTTCTCTCTAAAGCTCTAATTAATCATAAACTTCCCCTAAATTCAGCATCTGTTCTTATTCTTAATCCACCTCCTAATCATAATTCTTCAATTATTACAACAATTAATAGGCTCCAATTGGTCCCTATTGGCCAATTCTGCATCATTTTGCCTGTAGCTGGCCCAACAAGCTCATGTTCTTTGGAGGGTCATTTGCCTTTTCTCATGTCCCTCACCAGTTTTATTATTTCCCTTCCATTGCAGACCAGATCACAGATGTGGGATATCTCTGTTCGTTTCCCTCTTCTCTTTCTTGTTCACCTTATCATTCCCAACTTGGCTAGGGATTGATAAGATACATACATGTATGCACCGTATGTACGTACATAATTATACTACCATTTCTCTTTGCTCTATCTGAAAGTCCCTCCAAATGTAGGTGTCCAAAAATCAACTGTTGTCTCATGTGTCACCGGGAATGTGCTTGAAACCGGTACTAAACACAGCCCTCTGCTTCTAAGATCTTGCTTTGGACCATCGGGGTCCTTAACTTTATCAGAATTCTGCATTGACGGGAAAAAGAAAAATTGCAAGTACAAAATTAATCAACAGTAGATAAAAAAAATTAAGTAGTACCAAGAAGCTGATTGCGTCTATTGGAATCAGTACATAGGTATTATTTTTCCGAGTAGCAGAAGGAGAAGAATATATTATACCTGCTGCTGGTGTTGTATGACAGCTCCACTCTTCATGTATGGGGTGCTTAAAACCTGATATTATAAGATCAAAACATATTACATATATACATTATTATTTAGCATTATTATATGTGCTTAAGATGCATATATGATATAGCTTTATGGGACTTACATTAACTTGTTCATGGAGGAACTTGATATATTCGATGGCTTCAGAGAGTACCGAGGCTGTATCAGTCTGACACACAATAATATGGTTATTTAAAATCATCATACACAATCAAAGTTTTCATCTTATAACTTTGAAAAGATAAAAAATAAAGTAAAGAACACTTTTAAATTCAGAAAGAGAATGATATCTCAGACTCTAGCTAGCTAACTCTTGTGAAAGTAAAGAAGATATATAGATAGCGTTTTGGAGCTAAATTTACTTACCTTTCCGAAAGGTGAAACTAATTGTTGGAGGGCAGTGATTCTGTCCCCCATCTTCTCTTTCCTCACCTAAAACCAAAGCTACAAGTTCTCATCTATGTCTATGATAAAAGAAAAAGCTTAACACAACTCATCGCTAGCTTCTTGTCAAACCAAAAAAGAAAAAAGAAAAAAGAGAAGATAAAAAAGGTTACTGCTCATTTTGTACCTTAAAAGCTGGCAAAGGTGATGAGGTTTCATTCCTAGGCCTTTTGGATGCTGCTTCACTCCCACTTTTCTTCCCCACTGCACCCGATTCCTGAACTTCAGATATATTCTGCTCAGCCAATATTTAACATGTTAAATGACTCCAATCATGACAATAAAAACCCTAATCATGATGAATATGAAACACAATCGATAATTCTCGTATAATTGTTGCTTGACATATAATTTTTTTTATACATGCGATATTAGGAGAGGATTCAAACTTAATCAGCAATTTTAGTGCATTGGAATCTATTCTTAACCAATTAAGCTACAAGCAAGTTGGAATATAAAACGTTGATTCGTTCCTTAACAAGTTTTTGAAATCCACTAATTGTCTTTAACAACAATTGCGTACCTTCGGTTTTTCATCAAATCGTGCCGTGGGAAATTGTGGCTGCAACGAGGGGAAAAAGCTTGGCCGGACGTCTTTCATGGCGGCTTCATGAGGTGCATTCCAAAAGGGAGCATCATTAGAAAATTGTAAATGGCTCTGAGGAGGTTGTTTGGGAGGTGATGTTCTTAGAAACTGGGGTACTTTAGACCAAGACGGCAAAAGCTCACTAGAGTTATTAATTCCATAACTTCCTTGATAAGGAAAATTGATGATTGCTGAACTAGGCTGCTGAGGTTGATTATCATGATGAGGTCCCAATAGTCCTTGCAATATTGTAGATGGGCTTCCGTACAGAGCTGCTGATGCTGAATCTATTTGAAAACCGGAAGGCAATCCTTGACATGTCACCGTGCTTTCACCGGAGCTGTACCGAGGACTAAACTGTGTTTGATCTAAAGAAAATCCCCGGTTCATTTGCTTAAACTCGTTGTTAGAAGAATCCCCACAACCACCAGCAAACAACTTATCCCTCCATTGGAGCTGTTGGTCACTTTCTTGCTGAAAGTTAGCAGTATTGGAGTTCATGTTTTCTTGTAGTATTGATCGAAAACTAGTCTCCTTCTCACCGCGACTGTATACATATCAAATTATACAAAAATGAATGAAGTGAAAGACAAATTCCCTTTTAGGGTTTTTGTATATTGAGCATCATGACCAAGTTATATATATATATATATATATATATATGTTCATCCAAAATATAAAATCAAATAATTAGTAATTTTATGTACAGTTATTTTGGACTTACAATAAAGCTTGGTTCCAATCTGTGGCCTGAGAGGAAAGCCCTAAACCCATCATATGCAAGTTGGGGTCGCTGCCGCCGCCCGCGGAATCAGTCCCTTCTTGCAGCTTGTGAGTATCATGGAAGACCATAGATGAAGTACCTGAGACCGACCCGGAATCCATAGAAGACCTAGCCTTGATGTCAACTATGTCAGGTTGCCATCCGAAGCTTCCCAAGGTATTCAGGCTCGAAGACGAGGGCGATGCCCCCGTCTCGAACCTGGTTCTTGACGATGAGTCCCACCAGTTCCCAGGTGTCTGAAATTCATCTGCCATGGCTAACTGCAACTCAAATTAATTATAAAGGTTGATGCCCAACGGTTGCTGGACTGGTATTCTATTCTTTTGTTCGTGTTGTCTTCAACCTCTTGGACGCTACTAGTCTATTTGGAATCTACAAAGCTGTGGCTTCATAAAATGATGATGAGAAGCGGTTCGCTGCATCTCAGAAGTTTATATATATTTATATTAGGTGAATTTCAACCGTTTGGGTGTGAAGGAATGAAAGAAGTAACCGGAATGTGGTTGACATTTTAGGAGGTGATTAGACAATGAAAGGACCATTTCTAATTAAATTTACTTCCTTCATTCCTTTATTTTGTCTTTTAATGCTTTTTTTATATTGCCACTTTTATTTTGTTTCTTCGTTTAATCCTGTGACAATTAGGAGGCATATACTTTGATTGTGTGGTACTGCATGCTATGCTAGGCCGAATTATACATGTATTTTATGGTTTTTGTTTTGGTCTCAATACATGTATGATTGGTTGGCCACCCAAAGGGATCCACCCTTCCAAATATTATAGAGCAAGACAAAAGGGTAAAGTCTAGTTAGTACGTCAAAAACCAATTTCTCCGAGGAACTCATAGTAGTTGGAAACTAACTGGGCATTTCGTTATCAGAGATTCAGAATATAGTGTTTTAACCTATAAACATTGTATTCTGTCTATTTGGTAAATAGGATAGATGTCTAATTAGTTTGTTATTTTGTATGAATAATCTTTAAATAGGTTTCTTAAAAAAAATCAGATTATCAAACCATATTTTTGGATTTCTTTTAAGGTAGTAAGTATTTTATTAATCCAATAAAACGAACAATATCAACAATCAAGAATATAATTCTAAAAAATAATAATGATGTATTGTACATATTGATTCTCAATCTTAATGTAGTGAATTTTATTCACCCAAACCATATAGAAAATAAACATTTCTAATGCACAAGCCGGTCCTTGTATAGGTGCACATAAGTACATATTGATCCAGTAAGGGGTTCTGCCTTACAGCTCTCTTATCGTCATCAAGAAATAGACTAATTGGCTAACAAGATGGATGCCCGTAATGTTTAAGGAAAGTCCCCTGAACATTTAGGCATTTTGTGAAATGAAAAGAGCCCTACTGGGGCTGGAAGAAAGACTTTTTACCTACAATTCTCCTGATGAGCTCTTTAGTTAACTATGATAAAAAAGTGAGATAACCTTTGAACCTTCTAAGACTTAGCTTATTATAAGCCATCTGTTTGGTAGCAACTTTTTTTTCTTTTGTCTTTTACGAAAGAAAAGAGAAACATAGTGAGTCAATTGATTATATAATTAAAATTTTAGTTTTGAGTGTTAGTGGAGTATAGTTGCATGAGAACAAGCGACACAGCTGAACTAAGAACTTAAGTGAGAAGGTTGCTAGTATTTCTCAAAGAAAAAGGTACAGCCTAAAAACTGGCCTTGTTACCATAATTATGATACCATTTTGTATTGTTAACTTTAATCTTACTATTATTTTGTAATTTTGGACCGTAAAGTTTGACAACGTTGTAATCATACCATTTTAACTGTAATTCATGCATTGAATTTGAACGTCATGTGTAGCATACTAAACGTGAAAATAGAAAGCTCAAAAATGAACAACGATAATGTGTAGTTCCATGGCAGCCTAAAAACTGACCTCGTTACCATGCATAATTATAATACCATTTTGTATTGCTAACTTTAATCTTACTATTATTTTATAATTTTGGACTGTAATGTGTGAGAATACTGTAATCATACATTTCTTGTAATTCAAGCATTGAATTTTAACGCCATGTGTAGCACACTAAATGTGAAAATAGAAAGCTCGAAAGTGAATAACTATAATGTGTAGTTCCATGGCAACTACTAATAATGACTTATTTATGTAATATAACAAGATATTCGTAATGTAACAATCAATATTGGTAGTGCAATTTACAATATCATTTTGTAACCTTCTCATTGTTATTATGTTTATGTAAACAATGAGTGTCAATACATTTTTGAGTATTGTAGAACTTTCATAAACTAAAATAATTTCTTAGCTTCTATTTATTTTTTCCATCCAATCGCTTCCCTTGCAAATCCATTCTGGAAAGAAAAATGGAAAAAGAATAGTACTTGCTTTAACCAAGGTTCTAAAATATGTTAGGTGCTAGTCAAGTGGCTAACTGGAGCCTAGCACTTAGGTGCCTAGACGGACTAGGTGGATTTAATTAAATCTATTATATTTTGTGTAAATAAGTGTTTATTTATACTTAAAATATATATATGATTTCATCATAAACTACAAAATGGAATGACATATATATTATGAGATATTGGAACATAATGAAACCATAGGGAACAAGTATTTAATGTGTGTTCCTTTAAGTATTCAACAAGTCTCTTACAATTTATTGAAAAAATAAAATGCAAAATGAAAGTTATATATTTTTTGTATAAGTGAGTCGCAAACTAGGTGGGTCTGGGCGGGCTAGGCAGGTGCCTAGGAGGTCTAGGCCGGTGCCTCAATAGGTCTAGGCGCCCTTTATTAATTTTCAAACGCCTAAATATTAATCGGGACGGTGACTAACCACCCGCCTAGACGGCGCTAGGCTAAAATTTTTAGAACAGTGGCATTAACAGAAGTAAAAAAGTATTTCTTCAACCAAAAAGGTGTTCGAACTATTCCTTGACAATCCTATTAATTTAAGACGGGTCAACCAATTTGAAATATATATTGTAAAAAGGGAAAATTTGAAATAAGTCCAATTTTATAGACTACTATTTGAAATAGGTCTAATTTTTAATTACTTTGGACCCATTTTAAAAAACCCCTTGTAAAAACTAGTCGCATCGCATAAACCCTAGAATTCACAATTCAGGTGTACCTCCTTGAAAATTATGACTTGATAATTCACAACTCAGGTGTACTCCTTGTTCATTTAAATTGTGATAAAAGTAGTTGAAGGATCAACGTCCAGAGGAGGGGGCAAAGTAAAAGGGTGAAGCTAAAGAAGTTGGAATTGCGTATCATAGTTTGTTCATGGAATATAAAGGAGTCCTTAATTGACCAGTGCATTGTAAACTCGCTTGTTTGTAATTAGTGAGCGGAAATAGGTAATACCTCTGGCATTTTGTTTAAGGCCCTTCTGATCCATTGACAAATTTAATTTCGCTCGTGTATAACTTTCTCTTTTATTGTTTTTTTTTTTTTTTTTTTGTTGAAAGTAAGAGTAAATTTTTTTGCCGTTCTACCAAACCATACAATTACTGTACTTTATCATATACCGATTTTGTGCTATTTTTTTGTGCCAATCGGTAATCTTACATTAATTGTACCGAGCCAAAGCTATTTGTTATGATATTGGTATCCAAAATTGATAAAGACGATATTGGCGTACCGTAGCATCTCTACTTATGATTTAACATCTCATTCAAAGATACTCTAATGCAATATTCAATATGCTACTAAATTGGAAAAAAAAAAACAAAAACCTATACGAACAAGAAGTAATATTAAATGAGTAATGATAGGGATACTAAATTTCTAACCAAAATTTTGTAACCAAATGATATGGATGTTTATGATTGAATTATGGGTAAGGCTAGGGTGACCAAATTTTGTAAAGTAAATAATGTGGTAGTTGATAATTGGATTATTACTTAAGTATTGATTAACGTGCTTATTTCCTATTGGTGACACACCACTTGATTTGCAAATTTGATTTCCCTAACTTTAACCTTGACTTATTATTTAGGGGTGTGCTATCCACACACCTCATTTTATTTCTTACACATCTCTTGATAATTTCTGTCCGTAGATTTTTTTTAGTTCATCTGATTTGACGGTCGAAAATTAAAAAGCTGTGTGAGAAGTAAAATGGAGTGTGTGAATATCACACCTTATTATTTAAGTGTTTATTAACGTATTTATTTTTTATTAATAACATATTATTTGATTTACAAATTCAATTTAAAATTTTGATCTCCTTAGTATTATTTGTATTAAATTTTAACTTAAAAAAAAAGGATGGGATAAAGAGGCGGCAGGGGGGGTGGTGGCAGATGAAGGAAATTAGATTAGATTTTAAATATCACTATGACTTTTGCAGTACGAGTCAATCAGTGAGAGTCCACGAGGCGTGCAAGCGTGCGAAGACAAGTGGGACCCATTTTTTTCAAATTTCCAGCCACCCTAGGAGTCAGAGCCCTGAATGTGACCGGATTGCATATTCTTCTTCCTACCTAATCATTTGGCCTACCCAAACACCCAACACAAAACACACATGACACATGCACCCACCATGACCCGATGACCATCCATCCGTCGTGGTCATCAAAATATCAGTTAGTCGGGATAACAATTTATATGGGACATGTTAATTCTCATGTGATGTTTAAGTTTGATAATATATTATTATTTTTAAAAAAAAGTTTACACATGATATTATATTTTTAAATTATAATATCAATACGACGATGAGCCTAACTATTTCATGCATGTTATTACGGCTAATTAGCTCAAAAAAATGCTACTAGTCTACTACCAAATTATCAACTGTTTGTGCGTTGATGATTATTGATTGTTAAGGAAATCTCATAATTGATCAACAGTTCGATATCAAATTAATGATGGCTTATTACGTGGTTATGACAACCTCTTATCTTAAAATTATAATATTAATTAATCAAAAAACAATCACCTAAATTCATGTGAGCAGCTGTTCCTAACACAACTCCAATAATCACACATAATCCGCACATGTATGTGAAGGAGAGACAAAATGGTTGCTGTATCGATCAACGTTGTGAAAGAAGTGGTACGACTTAGTGGGGGCACTGGAGGAGTGAAGTGGGTCAAACAAGTATACAATTTCTCTACAAGCTCATTTGAAATGGAAAGTGCATGGTGGTTCTAGGGTTTGATTACAATTGGATCATGATGAAGAAATCATAAATTTAACCAACGAGGGTGGTCTTGAGCGGTTATTGATCGTGATTTTTATGTCAAGGAATTTGATTGAACTGCCAAATTTAATCTCTAATCCGAAGATCACACCAACAAATAAAAACAATAAAAAAAAGCTAATAAAATAGTAATTAAGTACAACCTACATAAATTACGTGTTTTTTTTTAATAAACGATATTATTTACACTAAAAGGGAAGTGATGAGTTTAGCCTCATAATATGCTAACAATAATGTGATTCCAATTCACCTTTGGCAAGAATCGAACCTA